TTCATCCATGCATCTATATCCCTCCATCCATCTATAACCATCCATCCACATATATCCTTCCATGTCCATCGATATCCATCCATCTCCATCTATCCATCCATATCTATCCTTCCCTTCATCCATCTCTTTTTTATTATGAGCATGTGTTGTATGCGGCCATACTTTTTCATGTATATGCATAACATGGTCAACGACTTTGCCTTTATTCTGTCCACCCATGTCTCCCTCAGGGTCTGCGCATGACCGTTGACAGTGACACATCCTCGACTGTCATGTCCAAAAATATGGCGCAAAAATGTGGGGACTACAGCACTATATCTCCTAAAGATCATAGGAGCAATGAAAGACAACGAAGCACAACACAGACAATGAGGGTACCCCTAGATGACGGAAAACAGTCTGACACGCGTGTAGACACTTCGATGACGAGAAGAACGGGTGGCAACATTGCGAAGTCTTACCATGCTCGCTCGAGTGACGTGACCGCAAGCGCAACGCCAATATCATATCGAGCATGCGGAGACATGTTCGACGTATCTGATTCTCCGACAGTGTCTGAGGAAAAAAAAAACAAACCGCGGAAGTGGCTGCGTGCGGAGAGGGATAATGATGATGACGGATTTGACTTGTTTGATGCATTTCCTAATCGGGGGGCTGACATGATATCGCCTGCCATTAGTAGTGGCGAGGGGTTATCTCGTAACACTTCTCTTGGGAGCAGTGCAGGGCCAGGTCGAGCAGGGAAACCACGATGCATCGAGGTCATTAGATCGAAATCCGCTCGTGCTCGTTTACTGAGTCACAAATGTTTTGAATGTAAAAAGTTCTATGATGCTGTTTTTCCAGACACACTCTCCCTTCGTGAGAGACAAGAACATGTGAACGAGTGCTCCCGACACAAGATCAACCAGCGACGACCACCAACGCCTCCGGGATATTGGGAATTCAGGTTCCCGGATTCCGACCCGGATTGTTGATGTTGTTGCTCGCCTATATATCCACTGTCTCTCTCTCTCTCTCTCTCTCTCTCTCTCTCTCTCTCTCTCTCTCTCTCTCTCTCTCTCTCGACGTGGCTGCGGATTCTGTTCCGCATTACCGGATTGTTGATATTGGGGCACACGGGGCATCAACCAAGGTATGTGTGATGTTGCACTAATGAGTACCGCCGATGTGCTCGCAATTGTGTCGTGACATAGGTCCATAGAGGTTTGTCGGACCAAACCACAAGCCGAAATGAGAAAACACGTTCACGAGGGAGGACTTGTCCCCGACGTGTGGCCTAGAGGARTGTCGTCACCAGCCACATCGGAGGAGTCGGCGGTTGTTGCCTTDTTCCAACAACCGTACTGTGACATTTGTTTTCGCACATCGCGTCTTGATAGGAGACGGTTTTACGTTGATGATGATGTGGATTTTGACAACGTGCCAGCACCGCCATTGTCGGAGTCGTTGTCAAATTCGTCATCAGCAAAGGAGTTATTCGAAAGTTTGACTCCCACGCCACAACCTCCACCAATTGCATCACAAGGCGCCGCCAGGCTCGAGGGAGGAAGTCAATCCTCATTTCCGTCGAAACATGGTTAGACGTCGTTTATGGCCATCGCAAGCAGTCCATGGTCAGAACAACGCTACTGCTTGTTCTTCGGGGAGTGATGGAAGTGGGTCGTCGCATGACGCTTTCACGAACAGAACTGCAAACACTACTCCCACGGGCTATATTTGGAAGTTCACGGTCGGTGATTTCGGTACTCCCCCGCCTCGAGTTCGTCGCGGCAGCAGCAACGATTCCGATTCGCCGGATGAATCACCCTAGAAGTATCTTATGTTCGTCCAATGTCCGTATGAAAAAAACAGTGTTGAAACCTCATTTCCATGATGTAACGTAACAATATTCCGCCACATAAGTTGATATACCAAGTTGCGCACGTCTTCTAAGTTTTCGTTTTCATTGCTCATTCCCTTTTTTAAAGGTGTGGTCCTTTTTTTTTTTTTTTTTTTTTTTGTTGCGCAAGAGGGCGTCCACATATTGCATTATCGATTTTTTTCAACCGGAATGTGTGTCTGTATGTGTGTGTGTGTGTGCATTTATTATGGTGTCGCAGTTTGATAACTATCACATTCAGTGTATAACACGACCGGTTTGAGATTTCAAATGTCGAATGAGTCGAGCTCACAAGAGGGTGGGGATGTCGAGAATAATTCCCAACGAACGCTATCATTTCAAGGCTCGAACGAAACAGGTTCGCAAACGTCTTCGTGTTCTTTCTCTGAGTCGTCCTTCATGAGTTTTGCTGAAGATGTCGACGATCTGGATTTCGTAGACCAGGATGATATTGTTTTGTCCAGGAACGAACGTAGACATTACAAGAGACTGATCTACTCAAACCCATCTATTTCTTGGTATACGCACTCGACAAGGAGCTTTGACGGCAGGAACGGTTTTATTGATATCCGCCAAGCTGAAGTGGCAGAAAATGTTAATGAACACACTGACACAGGTACACACAGTGAAGAGCAGCATAACAACATTCACGACGACGACAATGATGATTGTGGCGATGATGTAGATGACACTGATCATGGCAGCGAAGCCACGTCATTGAAGTCACACAATGCCG